AAAGATGAGCCTAGGGATGATGCTGTAGCACCCACACAGACACCAGTAGATGGTGGAAATATGGGCAGATACAATCCCTTCAGATATGCTCCCTTTTTTCTCTCTTCTTCAACCCTGTTATCTTGCAAATGTGACCAGGGCTGGTCTAACAGAGTTCAGTCAGGGTGAAGGGCATTAGCTGCAGGGTGGACAGTGAAACATAAAGCACAGGATCCTGACTCATCACCTTCAGACCTGTGCAGGTCTCTAAGCTGCTTCTCATTCTGTTTTTCCTTCCAAATTATCCATCATGTCCATTATCAGGACATCTATCCCAATAACTGTCCAACCACTGCTGCAGTCTCCTTGTATAACTAGTAAGAAGCTGACAATTTGCTTATTGAGCAGCTTCTGCAAGAAACCACAAAAGGAGGCATGGAGAAACAACTGGGACATGGTCTGAGGTCTAGAAAATCCAGAAGAATTACAGTTTTTGTTATCCATGCCCTTCAAATGGAGTGTGAAATTATTGTAAAAAAATTAATAATAATGATTTAAAAATTTATCTGATAGCTACATTCAGTGCCCTTTTAAACTACACAATGAGGCCAAGTAGCACTGCTGAAGAAATCTCAGAGATACTAACAGAAATCTCTCTTCAGTTCAGAGGAAGATTCGGGCAGAGTTAAGTAAATTTTCAGCATTCAACAAATCACACCATGTAATAATTAAAAGACAGAGATATAAAAACTGGAATATCAAGGGATCTTGTCACTTAGACTGCTCTAGGACATTATTTGCTTATGGTAGTGAAATATCTAAGATCTTTCCATAATTTTTGGCTTGTTGCTGCTACAAATTTTTTAAGCATTACTGTGTATGTAGCATGTATAGCACATAATAAATTAGCCCAAGCATCCTTTAGAAGCTTCATAGCTAAAAAGACAAACTGATAACATCTGATCTAGGAAGATCCTGTAAAAAAGGTATGGTATTTCCTTCTTCTCAAAGCACTATTATCCCCAAATCTGCTCTCCTAGGGACCTGAACAGTGAATGCTGCGAGGCCATCTGACATGGCATACAGAAAGGTCATATGCTAAACAGAGGGGATATCACAGGTGGCTGGAGTTGATCCTACACAAGGTTCTTTTCCTTTATAAATTAACATATTTACCTAGCCCAGTTCCAACCATAAATTTGTAACTTCTTTTGAGTAGAAATTAAACCATTGCTGCTGGGAACTTAAAAACACCAATGCAATATAAACAACATTAATTGAATACACAGAAAGAAAAAGGGTGCTTGACCTGCTCTGCTGCATTTTGCTGAGGCGCAGAAGCAGCAGCCTTAAATAGCAGGAGGAGAACCTTGTCCCTCTGTGCAGAGATAGGCTGGAGACATGTGGAACACCTTGCAAATTTTCAGACTAAATATTAAGTGCTATATTGTAAGGCCAGTTACTTTTCACCACTTCTAATCACCATGGATGAAGATTGTCATTAGCCTGTGTCCCCTGGAGGAGCACATCAAGCCCAGCTCCCTTCCAGCTCCCAAATGGCAGCAGAATTGTAGCTGCTGTCCACCTTGGACTTGGGCTCTGCTCAGCCAGCATCCCCCAGGCAAGTTGCTTCCTCACCCTCCTTTGTTTATTTCTAGCTGTATGATAGGTGTAGACTTCTATATTCCCTTTAGTGACTGGGTAACCGCCTTAGACAGAGAGATAACGACTTGTCTCAAGTGGGGATCTCTGTGATAAGCCAAAAAACACCTTGGAAGAAGTCTCTGTCCAAATCAAAAATAATGTCCCCAGTTGAAAAGCAAAGACTGTATTGGGGAGTAGGATCCACTGGAAACTGCTAGGCAAAAGGTTGTAGCTCCCTCAAATACTCAGAAGGCCTGAAAAATCCAACAAGAAAATTAGGGGAACCTGACTGTAAACAAATCCTGCAGCGTAACTAGGAAAGAGAATTTGAGGAGTGCATAGGCAGGAAAAGCACTTAAAGCCAAAAGCAAAGAAACTGTTTCCTGCTGTTGTATTCTTGCTGCCTTTAGGAAATAGGGCTGTGTGCACATTTTGAGGATTATATCAAAGCAGAAAGCGATTCCATCAGCGGCTTCCTCTCTCATAACTCAGCTCACTCTGAAGGCCAGGGTTTCTAAGCAGCTGGGTCAAAAAGGGGCACTTGTCCTTAATGTCTTGCACTTTCCTTCCTGTAATTCTCCTCTAATCCTGTTAATAGTTATTTTATTATCACAGTTCTACAAATTAATTTAGAAACACATATCTCTGTTCTTGTTAAGAAATAGGCTTCAGGACTGAGGACATAAATGAGAAACATACTAGGAAACACAGACTTCTCTGATTTTGTTTTTCTAAAGTGAAATAGATAATTTATGGTATAAATTATCATTCACCATACTTTTCTCACATAAAAAGAATTTAATGTATCTCCTGCTAGGCTAAATAATATGTTTCCTTTAGAGATTTTCTGAGCTGTCAAGAACAAAGGCATTTCAAAAGTAATAGAATAATCCACCTGTCACCTGGCACCTGCTCCATGTGATGTTAAATTTGTTTTCCTTTCACTTGTATTAACTAGAACATGTCTGACCAAATGAAGTGTTCCATGTGAAAGATCCAGAAAACCAGCTCCATGTGTGCCCTTGAATAAAAAACTAAATTTGGTTTATCAGCAGTTATAAGGAAAATGCTTGGACTCACTCTGATTCCATTCCTGTGAGTACAGTGTCTTGGGATGCACAAAGGAGACGATGCTCCCCAGCACTGTGACTCACTTAGCTCTTGAGGAAATCCATCTGAAAGCAAATATTATGTGGGGATTTGTGAGAGAATGCTCCTCATCCACTTCTGCTTCCACCAACACATGTACCTACCACCAGGGAAGAATTCTGTGCTGGTCTCACATGTGAGGAGAAATTCTAGCCCAGGACTTTGGGGACATTGTCACGCTGACTAGGGAAGGTGGAAGCTTTTTAACAGTCATGCTAACTAGATGCAGCCTTAGATGGTGATTCCCAATCCACACCGAGGTTTTCAACATCTCCTTTTCCCAGGTGGAGATCTCTGCTTCTGCACTGCCACCCATCAGCAACCTGCATGCATTGGAAATATGGCTGGCACTACTCTGGCAGCAACAAAATTATCACAGTGAAGGATTTGTCATGACTGGAAAGGAGTGAATGGGGGAATAACATTGTCAGGTGCATGCAGAGAGCAGCTAAGCATTTGCAGGTCGGGGGAAACAATGCTGTAATGACAAAACAATGAAACGTAGTGATGTACCAACTATAACTGTGAGTATCACATGCCAAACAGAGACACAAAGCCAGACTGAGCAGCTCCTCTGTGGATGTTTAAGTGGAAGTAACTGTTGCTAAACTCCAGCTCCTCATATAAGATCCAGACACATTGTTATCCTTGATACTCAGAGGAGGACATGATCCATGGTCCCCCTGCGACAAGTGGCTCACTGTAGCTCACTGTGTTCCTTGAGCAACATCCACACAGGGCACCATGGTAGTCCAAAGGAACAAATATTCTTTTGTGTGGTTAATTAAGTCAAAAATATTGAAAATAATGTGATGACAGTGTGCAACAAGATTTTTATACAACATGAAACTGAGAGTATGCATTGCATGCCTTGGGATGTATCAGGTGAGCTATACATGGACATCTGTTTGCTGTTTGAATGTCTAGATGTCCCAACAGAAGATATTTTCTGAGTATAAACAGGCGCCAGATACTAGCATGGGCTTTTCTAAAGAAATTAGACAATAAGGTCACATTGAGCTGCTTGAAGGAGACACTGGCCTTCTCAAGCAGAAATCCTTTCAGAGGCCCCTATGTCACAGCACATCTTTGTGCAGTGGCCCATGAGCTGGCCCATGACCTGGTATGTCTGAATCAATGTGAGCGCTAAAGCCTGAAATGGGGAGAGCTTTTTGTTTTTCATGAGAAGGTGAACAAAGGTGCCACAGTTTTTGAAAAACTAGTGACATTTCTAAAAGGTAGTTCCTAACCCTTGGACATTTATTAAGGCACAGAATAATGCTCATTTATATTAAACAAAATTGAAATAGATATATGCAAGGTGAAAGCATGTGACTGACAGTTTCTGCTTAAAGGAGACTTCACTGAAAGAACCTTGACCTTATCAATTCACTTCCCCCTCCTTATCTTCACCCCAAGTAACCCAAGTGTGCCTACACGCACATTGTAAATTATGGCTTTGATTTATTGAAAATCTCAGCAGGTCAAGGCAGCAAACCCAGTTTAGCTGTCCAGTTAAAGTGGTTTTATAGCTGCTGCATACCTCTGAAGCCAGCAGTGTGTACCACTATATCAACCTTTGTCAATTTCACCAGGCTTTTTGAGAGAACAAAAAGGATGCCATTGCTTTACTCTTAACCTTTGGTGTTTTCAAGAGCCTTTTGTAATTCTGAAAATGTGCCCAAATTCTTTAGGTTTAATGCAGAATTTATTACCCATCTTCATTGTTTGGGATCTATTGTGCAGTTTATTAAAATCCACAGTTTGAAACAGCCACATGTGTATAAATCAAACCATATAAATAAACCACCTTGTACCAGAGGAACATAATATTTAGGGTTTGTTGACAAGAGAAAATGTTCCAAATGGGAATGTCAACTGGAAATGGAGTGGCTAATATACCTTTAGTGCTTGAATGGATTCTCCTATTCTGTGCTTAATTCTTCCTTGTGCCTCAGTTTAGTTCTTTTGAAAGCCAAGGAAGATAAATCATAAAAAGCCCTCAGGGGATACAAAGATTTTTTTCCAGACTGACCTTGAGCTAGTGGGAGCATGGAATGGGCAGGGTGTGGAATAGCTGTTCTGTTACAGCCCTTCCAGGTTGTTTCCTCCAGATCTACTGTTGGCACATGCTTCACTTCCCAAACACCTGTTTGTCCCTACCTGGTAGCTCTGCATGATCCTTTCTTGTGAAGCTGATTTTCTTCTTATGACATTTGAATGCACAGGCACCATCTGTGTCTCCTTAAACATCCAGTCACCAAGAGCAGGGAGCTGGAAAGCAAGAACAAGTAAACCAGCGAGTATACATCTGAATCATCCAGGTGAAAGAGATCATTAATATTCAACTTTTAAATAATTAATTCAGTCAGTTGCAATAATGCTAATGCAACTTTAGACTAGGACTTTTTGTTATGGGTTTACAGGACAAACTTGATCTTGACCAAACGTGACATGTGGATGATATTCTTGGCCATATGTGATGATTCCTAAAAATTCCATCAAAATAGTGGATGTAAGTTGCACATAGAAGCTCCTTTACTGCCAGTTTAAATATGACTGCCTTTGAATTTTGTCCCTGCATCCTCATGGAATTTGCCATACTTATGCTGCAGAAGCCAACTGTCAAGTGGGAACAAACCCTGCTCCTTTCAGGAGGAAAACAGTAAATTTAGTCCCTGTAGAGATATGAAAAGAGAAAATTGGCCTGGACATTCACTTTTCCATGCAGGAATGCCACAGTATCATTTGAGGGATGCCCTGCATCAACTGAACTGGGGTTACACAAAAAGCAGTTTACAGCTGTCAGTGTTCTCTGCCACCAAAGCGTGGTATCTCTGCTGTTCTCAAATTGTATACAGACCACTTCCTGTGGCTGTAGGGGAAAGATGCCTTGAATGGTCACTCAGAAAAACCTACGTGACTAGCAATGCCTGCTACAGCTCTGCTGGTACAGCACTTTCATGCTTGTTAAATGAATGGCAAAGAAATGCAGGAACTTCTGCTATATGCTGAAGCCCATTTCCATTTTATAAAACCAGAAATCTGGATTTAGACGCCAGTCTCCAGAAGCTGCTAAGAACAAAACAAAGCAGTTGGGGAATTGCTTCTCTTGTTTCAGGCGAGAAGTTGTAGCAGACTTTGGCTCTTTACTTGAAAAAGCATGAAAATTGTGCTAAAATTTTCCTCTTTCTAGTGCTGCAGCCTCTGCTCCCATGCCTCCTCATGCAGCTGAACCATAAGGTAGTAATGAAAAGCATCTTTTTACTCTGTCAATACCATTGTTTATTTTATCTCTGCAGCTCACACTAGGTCTTTGAATTAAATGAAAAAACAGCCTCACTGTTATCAGCACAGGGCAGAAGCAGATGGGAAACTTGTGGTATTGCTCTGACTAATGCTGTGTCTTTGTGCAGCTGGAGTATGACGCTGGGAGGTGCTGGATGCCTTCATCACCCCTTCAACTCATCCAAAAAAAGAAAACTAACTTCAAAGCATTCCTCATTTCCCTGGAGTTGTTCAGCACCCCAGATTACTCGGCCATGGCTGGACAGTCTGGCTTCTGATGGTGACCTTTGCCTCCATGCTTTCAGTGAGATGGACTTGGACCTTTTTAGCCAGTAGCTAAAAATGCTGGAGGTTTCTGTCAGCTCAGCTCAGGAGCTGCCACAGACTGCATGAGTTTGCATCTCACTCACTGGCTTCTCCTAGCCCAAGTTCAAGCATTTAGAGCTTGAGCAGGAGAAACAGAAAGGGTAATACCACAGGCTCTCCACCAGCTTCTGCCCTGGCACATAAGAAAAACATTTTTCTAAAGTGGCCTGAGGCAATGCCATGACTCAGTTCAAAGCTGCAAAGACAAAATAAGCTACAGTGTTCCTAGAAAAAAAAGGTCTTTTTAGAACCTGCAGAAGAACAAAAAGAATTAAGCACTTGAACATAATAGTAATCTAATACTATTATTACTGTGATTATTATTGTTTGGTATTGAGCCTGTACTCCACAGACTTCCTCTAGGACTGGAGCTGTTATGCTGGGCACTTGATATGTGTGAAATGAAGAGACAGGCTATGCTTTTAAAAGGCTCCCAGTTTAAGCAGCAGAGTGGAAAGAAGGGGAAAAAAGAGCGATAGAGGAAGGTAGCAATGAAATGCAGATCTTTCAGGACTCATCTGTGAACGAGTAAGGACACTCCTGGGCATCCACTGAGCAAAGCAGGGCACAGCACCCTCACATCATAAGAAATTCTTCTCTATTCAATGTTTTTATTTCTCATAAGCCAAATACAGCAACTGGGATTTCTGATCCATAATGCAAATGGGACTGAAGCTCACAGATTATGCTAACTTTCCTCAGGAATCAGAATTCTGATTGCTTTTATCCAAACAGGGCTGCATTATCACCCCCTGCTTCACTCCACTTTTGCTATCTTTGCAGCACATAATTTCTTTCATTGTCTGAACATTGCCTCTCTTGGAGAGACAGCATCCATTTGGAGGGGAAGAGACAAATGCTGAAAAAAAAACCCCAAACCAACAACCAGAGAAACAGCAGCTGTTTGATTTTACCCAGACTGTAGCAGCATTTGCAGAAATCCCTGCGGAAATGGCCGAGTAGGCTTGAAACAGACAGAGCAGTCCAAGGAGAATGGACTTTGTCACCTTGTCTTGCCATTCATGACAAGCCAAGGATGCATGCTCCAGAGGAAGACAAATTTTGCATGGCTGTGCACAGAGAAGGCAGCCCTCTAGTAGCTGGAAATACAGTGAAAGGACTTTTGCAGTCTTGCAGGATAAACTACATCTCAGACTGCTTCACACAGTGGCTCTCAGGGCTTAATTTGTTCCCTTTGTTTATCTGGCCACTGCCACATGGGAAGCTGGGTTTTGTTAGCATTTAGCATTTAACTATATGGAGATTACAGCAAGAAAAGAGAAAGACACAATGAAAGATTACTCTTAGACCTATGACAAAAAATTATCTTTCCTCCTAAAATTAGTATTTCCCAGCCTATTTAGAAGCCAGAACACTTTTAATCCTCTAATGAAAAACAGTCCAAAATCACTCTTATGGCACTCCAGAAAAGAAATACGTAGTGTCATCTCAGTCATAGTTCATAAAATCCTTTGCAAGGTGGCAGGGACCAAGGAGCAAGTCTGGAGATCATTACAAGGGGCCCAAGATCCAAAACCATGCTTTTCTGGCTACCAGGTGTCAGAGACAGTTGGAAGGAAGCAAATGTGTTCCACCAGTGGCTGAGGTAATGTGTATTGCTACAGTCACCTCAGCCACAGGTAGAACACGGGTAGATGTTTGTTTTTTCTTGGAGGCTGGAAGTGTTTTTCATTTTTGTTTTTAAACTCTTCTTTCTCTCATCCACCTTCAGGTATCTCCATGCCTGTACCCGTCTTTGGACTACAAGATGACTCCAAAGTATTTAAGAAAGACATGTTTAAGAAAGACATCTGCTTACTTGCAGATGAAAATTTTGTTCTAGTAGGCTCTTTTGTGGCATTCTTCATCCCTCTAACCATCATGGTAGTCACTTACTTTTTAACTATCAAGTCGCTGCAGAAGGAAGCTATGCTATGTGTGAATGACATTGGCCCTAAGACAAAGTTTACTTCATTCAGCTTCCTCCCTCAGAGTTCCCTGTCCTCAGAGAAACTCTTTCAGCGCTCCTTGAACAGAGATACGGGGACTTCAGGGAGGAGAACAATGCAATCCATCAGCAATGAGCAGAAGGCTTCCAAGGTCCTTGGCATTGTCTTCTTTCTGTTTGTTGTGATGTGGTGCCCGTTTTTCATCACCAATGTGATGGCTGTTATTTGCAAGGAGTCATGCAAAGAAGAGGTCATTGGAGGACTCCTTAACATATTTGTTTGGATTGGCTACCTTTCTTCAGCTGTCAACCCACTCGTGTATACGTTGTTCAACAAAACCTACCGCTCAGCTTTCTCTCGCTACATCCAGTGTCGCTACAAGGAGGAGAAGAAACCTTTCCAGCTGATTTTAGTGAACACTATCCCAGCACTTGCATATGACTCCAGACAGCTCCAGCTAGCACAAATGAAGAGTTTGAAAAAAGAGGCGAAAATGATGGCTAAGGATTACTCGACGGTCACGATAGGAACGCATCGTTTAGATGGTACCGCCAAGGGAAATATTGGCCCAGGGAACGAGAAGGTTAGTGGTGTCTGATGGTCAGCAGCTGCCATGACAACCACTCTGTGTGTGCTGAAAATTCCACCTGCTGTGAGAAACTCTGATAGCTTAAGAAAATCAGTTGTGTTCAAGACACCTTCCAACAACATCATATACTCCTTACATTATCCTGTGGATGAAAAGCAGGGTTGAAAGGGTATCAAATGTGGAATTTTTTTTCATACAGTACGTTGGCTGTTTTAAGCACAGGCTTTATTAAACTTATTTTTTTAATATTCTAAAGGATATATTTCTTAAAGAAAAAAATGCAATTTCTGGTATTATAATATGGGCTGTGAAAAAACCTACGCACTTCTTTTCTCTTTGCAAATGAAAGCTAAGCTGTCCTTTGATGTTCTTGCAGAATGGGCTCCAGCTAGTTTGTCTTGCTACAATTGAGTTCTATCATTAACTGAATGAGCACTTTACAGAATTTTAAATAAAATGATGGTTAATTTGTTAATATATATTTAAAATAAATTTAAAAGTATTTAAAAATCTATTAAAACTGCTATAGATTAATTATATGGACATTTTGTTAACTGTTCTTATGCTATTTTTTCTTCCTCAGTAACCATCCTGAAATCTCCCTGGGCTTTTCTGCCATTTGTTCTGTATTTCAAATAAGCAATCTTCAAAGGTAAATTATACTTGAATAATCCTCTGTTTCCACCACCACCACTTGTAATCTTTATTTCAGGACTTGCATTTTATTTGCATTCAAAAATTTCATGTGTTCAGCTTAAAAATTGAAAGTAATGTTTTCAAAATGATTGATCTTAATTCCCTGTTCCCTCCCACCGGTGTTGACAGGAAGGTGAAGTGAGAGAACAGTGGAAAACCAGGCACAACACTGCTAAACAATTTCAGCACCACTTCCAGATTCATTACTCTGTTCAATTCCAACAAAGTCTGATTTAAGTAATGTCAGAGGAAACTCTGCATGAGTAAAGTCTTCAGTAAAAGGTTGAAGTAGATCCTCTCTCATCATTTCTCTTTGGTTAAAAAAGGCCTTTATGAACAATGTTCTAGTTTTGGTTTAGGGCTTGTAAAGCCAGAATTATTAGAAAACTGTGAGTTGCTAAAAACTGTTTTCCCTTGTTTCACTGTATTGCTGTTAAGGCAGATTGCTCAGGAATGGTCAGAAGATTGCACTACTAGGACTCAGCCTTAATGAAATATGTATGGGCAAATGGGGCTCACTTGAAAAATAACAAGACCTGTAAACAACACTGCATTTCACCTGCATGGATCCAAGGGCAGAATACATTGCATAAAGAACATAAAATACATTGCTTGACAGACATGCCTAGTCATGAAGCTCTTTTCATTACATCATAACCGATGTCACTGAGGGCAGTGGGACTTTGCTGAGGAGGAAAAATATAAATGCTGCACTCACATGCAAAGTTTAAATCCAATATTTTGATTCATTACATGAATTTTGCAGCCATAATCTCATCAAAACCAGGATGTATTCCAGTTTCTGTGGAAAAAAACCCACTGTCCATCCAGAAGCAAAACTCCAATGCCTTCATCTGTCCTTCTATTGAAGTTGTTCAGTTTTTACAGAGCAATTAAATTTCCACTAAGTCAAAGAAGGAGAGAGACAGAGAGAGAAAGTGAACCTTTTTCTAGCCTACCAGGTGGGAGTCTTTGGAAGAAGAAGGCCTTTAGCTTAAGATACTGATCTATGGCAGACAAGGGCTTAAAAGTTGGCTGGGTATTTGACTGATTTCCAAGAAACTGATTTATTGTCATATACATGGTATAACTAAATCTATTAGTTTTATGAGCCCTTTCCTCTGACATGGGATAGGTAGGAGCCACTGTGCACTGGTCACACAGAAGCTCTGCATGCACATGATGACACTGACTCACCCCACAGACCTCAGCCTCCATGACTGGGACAAAGTGTCATGCTGTAGCCCCATTCACAGTGATGAGGCCATGCATGTCATCTACAACCTCACAGACATTCATGGGTTTCCCCCCAAAACTGGTCATTTAGGATGAAATGATAAATCAAGTGGAATAAATGCTGTGCTCACCAGGTGCTTTATATGCTCTCTCTGTCTCTGGGTACATTTGATCACCTCAGTCAAACTGAACAGCTTCAGCAGAAGCAAAAATGAACTCGCTGCTCCTACCTCCCTATGCACGCATCCCACTCCTACCCAGCACTGTGTGAGGGGTGTCACACTGGCAAAGAAGGCGTTCCAGGGGGAATCTGCTAAATGCAGCTGAGTATGAGGACTACCATAGTAGTAGCTGGGAGCAGTGACTTTCCACTCTTTCCTGTCAAATTTGATATTGACCTTAAATCTAGTATTTTGAGCTAATGACAATGCCCATCTTGTAGCCCACAGGCCAGATGTCTCCACTCCACAATTGGGGTGATGGTTTTGAGGATTTGCCCTTGGAAACAGGTATCTCAGGGAATAAGCAGGCAGTAATAAAAGCAAAGGTGTTTTGTGAGAAGAGGTCTGAGGCTCTAGATCTGCTACCAAACCAGATTGCCTTCATATAATGAATATTGACAGGGGACTGAAGGTCTCTAAACCTGCATGTGAGGGAAAAGAAAACAAAGAGGCTTCCACTAGGGGAGGGAATCACCATATTTTTTGCCATTTATGACCTGAAGCAAGTTTCTCTGGCCTTGCAAATGAAAACAGTAGGTGGGACAGACAGCTTGGATCTTATTGCCCATTTGTGCCAGGGAGCAGAGCCTACCTGCATCCTGTATGATGTGTATGGCACCTTGCACTTCTCCAAAGCTCAATTCCTCACAAATCTCCTGAAGGTCCAATTGCTGCTCTGCACAGTCTCCTTCACCAGCTCACAGCTGATAAACTGTTACTGAAGATTTCACATTCAGTGCTTATGCTCTCCACTTACCACCCGCATTTTGCCCACGTGGCAGAGCAGATCAGCCCTCTGATTCTCTTTCATTTCCCTTTCTGTTCTTCATTCACAATGTCAAATTGCTCAGGTCGAAAATACTGACAGGGAATGTTTCACTACAATCACAGAGGGTTTCAATTACTGGCATGAAGTTTCATTACAAGGTGACTCTGAACAATTTTTTTTTCCAGCTTATTTTAAAATAAAACCTATGTTTTGGACATAAGAGACTTAACAGCATTTCATTAATTGACAGCTGGAGAGAACATAACACTGAGTTTTTGCTTAGAAGCAGGGAAAACTGATGCCTGACATTTTGATTCTGTAGCACTCAGATGGTTTTATTGAGTGATCAGCAGCTTTTGCCTAAGTAGCCTCTCAAGGCCAAGAATGAACAGCAAAGACCAATATCTCCAGCTCTTTATGGACATTTTTGACAGCTTAGAAAGGCCTGATTCTGCCACCCTGCATCAAAATATTAATAGATTTTTGTGCAGTTTGCCTTAGTGAGGACGACAGAGTCAGGATATGAATTTGTTCTAGCCACCATGCCAAATCTGCTAGGGGTTGTTCATCAGTAGATAGCAATTAATGAACTCATTATACTGCAGACGGATTACAAAGTTCAGCTGTTTTAATGCAGGATTTACAGCACTTGGCCCATGCTTGAAATGAACACCACGGTTTAATATGACCAGCTTCAGAGCAGCATCTCCATCTTCCAAAAAACTGTGTTTTCATTATGCATCAGAATGGAATGGAATTTTTTGTAATTTTTCAGGTTAAAAAAAAAAAAAAAGAAGACATTCATACAGACTGGTTCAGAGGTTAGGGCCTTCCCCTACTTCACAGGAAAAGCATGCTGAGTCAGTCTGTCATATCTGCATCCAAAAAAACCACTTCCTCTGAAAAAACTTTTCAGCATCAACTTTTTCAAGTAGATTGACATTTTATTACTGTTAAGACTGCATCTGAAAAATGTCCAAAGACATGAAGCTCACCATGTATCTCCTAAGCTGGTGTGCATCCTTTTTACACTTCAGGGTAAAAACTCCTATGTATCTATCCCATCCAGTCAACCATGCACTGTACTTATGTAATTATTGCCAGACAGTGAGATGCATTCTATTTTGAATACCTATATGTTTGCTTATGTAAATACATAGAGAAAAAATTTGTTGTATTTTGTAATGTTAATGTAAAATGGTGTTTCAATGCTTTACCATTTTGTCTGATCGCACTGCTAGTAGAGCAGATTAAAATATTCAAATGCAATCAGTTGTTTTATAAACTGGAGGTTTGTCTTAAGTAGCTAATTTGGTTTGGTTTTATTTCTCCCATAAATATTCAGTACAATGTCTGCTGAAGGCTAAATTAATTTTAAATATTTTGTTGGAGAAAAAGAAAGAGCATGTTGCAGAATTTAACTATCTCAGTAAACTGGTCCAAAATGAGCCATTGTAATAATTTGCTTTTTCTAAGGACAGCCATCCTTCTACTGAAGAGGTACTCTTTGGGTAAGTACATACATCTTAGTAATTTTCAGTCTCAGAAACAGTGTACTTGCAATAGTAGAAAGCCTATGAAATTAATTTCACTAAGAAGTAGAACTATAAGATTAAAATTAATAAGCTATATTGGTTAGCTTGGTAAGGTTTCACAAGTGAGGAAGCTACAGGAGTGGGTTTTGTGAGATGCTTCCAGAAGTTTTGCCCATATCTGACAGATCCAATGCCAGCCAGCTCAATGATGGATGAAGGTCTGGCCAAGGCCAAGCCCAGCAGCCATCATGATGGTGCCAGTGGGATAATAGGTTTAAGTGGGGGAAAGCTGCACCATTGCAGCCAGAAAGAAGTGGGAATATGTGAGAGGAGCAGCTCTGCAGACACCAAGGTCAGTGGAGAAGGAGGGGCAGGAGGTGCTCCAGGCACAGGAGCAGAGATTCCCCTGCAGCCCCTGGTGCAGAGCATGGGGAGGCAGCTGAGTCCCTGCAGCCCAGGGAGGTCCATAGGGGAGCCTGTATCTCCCTGCAGCCCAGGGAGGTCCATAGGGGAGCCTGTATCCCCCTGCAGCCCCGGGAGAACTCCACGCTGGAGCAGGCACATGCCAAAGGAGGCTGTGACCCCGTGGGAAGCCCGTGCTGGAGGGGGGTCCTGGCAGCATCTGTGGGAAGCCAGTGGAGAGAGGAGCACCTCTGGAGCAGTTTTGCTGGCAGGACTTGTGACCCACAAAGGAGCAGTTCATGAAGAACTGCAGCCCGAGGAAGGGATGCAAGTTGGAGAAGTTCATGGACGATTGTCTTCAGAGGGAGAAACCTCAAGCTGCAGCAGGGGAAGAGTGTGAGGAGTCCTCTCCCTGAGGAGGGAACAGCACAAACCTGTCCACAGTTCCCATTCCCCATCCATCTGCGCCACTGTGGGGGGAGAGGTAGAGAAAAATCAAGACTGAAGTTCAGCCCAGGAAGAAGGGAGAGAGGTGGAGGAGTGAAGCTGTTTTAAGATTTAGCTTCTTTGTCTCATTAGACTACTCTGATTTAATTGGCAATAAATTAAACTCATTTCCCTAAGCCAAGTATTGGGAACTGCTGGTGGCTCCTAGTTAAATGTCCAGGCCTAAGCCAGTTGAGCCAGCTCCTAGAGGAAATAGAGGAAGAGAGGCAGCCTAAAATTAATATTTTAAGCAAGTGGAAAGAATGACCCTTTGGAATTGCCTACTGAAGAAATCCTAGTCTTCAAATCCCACAAGTAGAATATATCTCCATTCCCAACTAACAGCAGATGTAATGTGGCCACATAACTTTGCTTTTCAAAACTAAATTCTTGGGGTTTATGGGCCTAAGGCTAAGCCTGGAGATAGGTATAGGGAATATTTTTCCCCCAGTCACATTGGGGATCTTTGAGGGGAAACAGCTTCTTTGCTGCATGGGTCTTTTAAGGAACAACCATCTGGGACAAGGCAAAAAGATTCTGATTCAGATTCTTCTGATCTGCTCAAGAAGCCAGTGGCTGATGAAAGAGGAGCACACATATTAAGTGAGGCTTTACCTTACAGATCTAGATCTAAGGACTAAAATGGGGAAAGAAGCATGTTAAACAGATTACTGCAGTCACTGTCAGACTACATCCACTTTTATTTATTCTTACAACTGTTTTCAGGAAGAGACAACTGTTGCTGGGGATTTATTTGCTGATGGGCAGCTGAGGTACAGTGAGATAAAATCAGCAAAAGAAGCCATGCAGTAAGCTAGGAACAGAACCCAGAACTTAAAAGACATGGATGAAGGTCCCCTTCCTATAAACCTCTACTTTCCAATGATGGTGAAAACAGATTTCAAAAGCATATCTGGAAATCTGCAGTTCTTGTTCACCCATTAAAAAAAATTCTAGCAATGCACAGTTATTGCAATTGAGATTTATGTCAGAAGTGAGTCAGGTTTACTTACTTTAGGTTTTTAGAACCAGCAAAAATATGGATCAAAAGTAGTTCATAAAGACACTTCCCAAGATGAAGTACAGCAGTTGTGAGACCCTGAATGCCCCAAAGAAAGACAGATTATCCTAAAATTCCTCTTTGATTCTTCCCATGGGAAAAAAAATCATAGCCATTTGGGAAGACGCACACAGGACCTGAAAATTCATCCAAGGCAGGATACCTGCTTCAGAAATTTTTTTGAAAGAAATGGATCTATTCAGGGCAAACAAAGGCAGAAAATCTCAGGATTCAGAAGCAGATTAGTCCAACAGTTACTCCACCAGAATATTTGGAATTGCTGCCTATAACTACACATAAAATAAAGACTGAAGTTTCCACACGAGCATAATCATCATGGCTGCATTCTGGAAGTCAATATTTCTGTTCTCCACATGAGAAGTGTAGAAATTATTTTTCCCCCTTCCTGTCTTTTGGACAGTGAACCCTTCAAGTGAGAAGGCTTGCTTTGCACTGTGGACCTTGTCACCGTCAATAGCAATAAGCTCTTTCCTTTCCTTTTCTTTCAATGAGCTGTTTTATCAATAGTGACCTATATTATAGTCCCTTTCCTACTGCAGCTTAGATTTTTTTCCAGAACTCCAGAATATATTTCTGAAGTGTCTCCTTTTCCCAAAGATCTATTATACTTCTCTCTTTATCTTTGTTACTGCAGGGAGTAATATAAACTGGCTTTTTCTCACCTGCATATCTCAGACTGCCCTCCATCTCATCACCCAGATCAGTAATAAAGACACTAAACAGTCCTGTCCATCGTATCAATCCCCGAGGGGTGTCACTCTGGCAGCTGGACTCTGGACTGCTGATCAATACTCCCTGAGCCCAGCAATGAAGCCAATCTTCCCCCCACCTTATTTCTCCAATCTTGTTTGAGGACACAAGGAGAACTATTAGAAGTTCTTTCCAAGCCCTTACTAACGTATACAACTTCCACTGCTCCTGCTTGGTCCGTTGATGCAGAATTCTGTTCAGAAAGTAATTAGACTGGTCAGGTGTGCTGTGCTCTTGGTAAATTCACGTTGGCTATTCCTACTCACCTTCTTGTTCTTTGTATACCTGGAAATGCCTCTCAGGAGGATTTGTTCTATTACTTCCTTGGAACTGGTGGCAAGGCTGACCTGCCCTTAGTTTTCTTGATATTTTAGACTCTAATTTTGACACTTTTAGACACTAACTAAATAATCCTGATATTAGTGATTGAAAATTTGTTCCCTTCAAGGTTTATTCTTTTTTTTTTTTAACTTCCAGACTAATCTTTTCTTAAAATCAGATCAATCAAGATTTTTGCCAATTGTCTTTGGGCAATATAAGCATCTACTTTTACTTTTCCATCTTAAATGATGTTTGGAATCTTCTGACCTTTTCATTGTCTGTATTCCCTCTAGGAATCAAGAGATTATTGAAATATATACTCTCTGCAGGGGATCAGGCCAGTTGTTCCAAAAGCCATGTGGGCATGTTACCATAGTCATCTTTGACAGCAATAAATCACTGTCTTTTCCTCAACTTTTCCAAAAGCCATGCTCTTTAAAGTAATCTTTTATTGTAATTTTGTATGATTCTCTGTCTTACCTCATTATACATAACAGATTTAAATAATCCTCACAGGAAGAATTTATGATACACATGAAAGCTCTGTCTGCTACTTTGACCCTGGTTTTGATAAATGACTTCAAGTCTGTGGCCTGAACTGTCCACCAAGACCAAGAAAGAAAGTCTACTGCACATGTATTACTTCAAGGTTCATGTAGGGATCAAGGCATGCCAGCTGGTGTTGCTGATCTTAACTTATTCCACAAGACCTAAAGAAAAGCCTGTCTCCTTTGGAATGACAACAACAAGCCTAAACAAATGGCATTTATGTCTCCACATCTCCTTGCAGCTCCCATTAATAAGACAAGCCCTAATGTTCTACTATATTATTTATTTGCTTAAATTGAGTTTAAATTTGTCCTTTGGCATTTGCTAAATCAGGTCTTCATGATTACATTCCTGTCAGCCAATATCTTTCCTTAGCTGCAACTATACAGCAAAGTTTATTTGAATATCTGAATTCAAAATGCCAGCCTCAAGGGTTCAGTAAATACATGAGATATTTAAAACTGTATGTGGAAAAATTTCTCAAACAGGCAGACTCTTCATAGGTTCAAAATTAATCTGTACTAGAAATAAATAGAAAACAAAAGACATAATACAAATATGTGCAATTAATTTGCTATGAAAAAAGAAGACATTCATTTTTAATTGTAACACATTAAGAGGAAAATACTTTCTGTTAGAATTACTAGCAGCATTTTCCTCACTGGATTTAATATCAGTTGTAATGCACTTAATTTTCCATTTTTCTGAAGTGATAATAAAATATTACTAATGTTTCTTACATTACTGTAATAAAAGAAGCATGACTGGGTGGAAATTTCTTGGAAAAAGGAATTCCTCGGAAAAGTTGTAAGAGCTTTAACTGCTCCACAGACAAAGAATTTTTCAAAAAAACATTACTTTTTCTATTTTCTTATCACAAATTACTTGTTCTGCAACTGCAAATCTTCTGTGTTTATGTTCTCCATAACCTCTCTGCAAAGATGATTTATGAACGTTCTCAGAGACCTAGGGACTCAAATGACACACTAATGACCAGAAAGGAAATAATGAAATCAAGAATTAGAGCAAAGCAGAAAAAAGCCCTCAATGTACACAGATAAAGAAAGTGAGGATGTGTAGGAAAGAAAGAAAAGAAGCTCAGACCTAACTTCCATCTGGGAATAAAAGGTAAAAGATAGATGCATGTAGAAGGAAGGGGAAATAATAAAGATAATCAATGAAAATAGAGTTGTACAGAAAATTTTCCCTTTCCCTGTGCAAACTTTCTCCCATGAAAAGCTAAAGACTTGAAACAGGTTGCGTCAATACAGCCAGCATGAAATATACTGAGGGATGATACTGTTGCCAGCATATATGTTTGTTGAAAATGACTGATAGCATGGCATAAAACAGTTTAAAATAATTTAGATAAATATCATATTAGAATTCTAAAAGACTTAATTATAATCAGTTGCTATAAAGAACACCGGATAAGTTCTTTACAGAAAAAAACAGAAAACAATCTCTTGGCAAAGTCAACAGTGAAGTGTGAATTCAGAGCTCTGAATAACCAGTGATGATGTGATCACATGCAAAAAGTTGAGAAAAAATTACTGAAAAGCAGGCAGGAGGAAGTTAGTAACCACCACTCTTAATTCAGACTACCATAAAAAGTATTAGAACATTAGAAAAGTGTGTACCCTTTTTCAGATGCATGGCTGATGGAAAGACTGTACTTACTGCAAAGAAAATGGGAAAGGAAAAATTTGGTGCCATAAGCTTGAAGACATACAGGTTGTTTGGCTGCAATGTAGAAGTTTCTTGCTGGAAGCTTCACAAAAAATGTGTTTTGAGTGTTGAAGATAGTGTAATGTTTCCCCAAGTACAGAAAGATGGTGAAAAGGCAAAAACCATTCTGACAGAATGCAAAGACTTTCTTACTGATACCAAGAGAAATTCTAGGTGATGATGTGAAATCATATCTCACCACTGGATGAGATCATCCAGTGATCTGAGTGATAAGATGGTAGAAAGCACTGTCTGTGTAGGGAGAACACAGAGAAAGTATGTTGGAACAGTATGTGCTGTACTGGAATATAATAAAGCAAGAGTACATAAGCCAAAAGATTTTCCAAAGTTAGTATCTGTCATTCTTTCATTTTAATATCCCCATTTCTACTGGTTGCCCTGCTGTACCATATGAGATGTCTTTTATAATGATGAAGGAAAGGAAGCCTGTTTCATATCCTCTATTTTTTAGAGAATCTGAAATGATAGGCAGAATGCAAACAAAATGAATTCACAGGTTAGAACTGCAGACACATCTGAAAGGATACAGAAATGGAATTAAGGTTAAACAAATGTCCACAACCAAAGATACTAGAAAGATCTACACTACAGCACAGAGGAGACTGCACCAGCTTGGCTCCCTCTGCCTTACACTGTTCTTAACACTATCCTGGTGTGTCAGATCTGTGCCATGAAAGC